TTCGCATCAGCTGCCTGGCTGCCGGCTGCCATCTTGGCTGGCAGTTAATTTGCATAAGGATATGCTAATTAGCCAATGGGAAGAGTAGCGGAGGTACAGCTAATTACCATGTTTCTCTTTTATTAGATAGGATTATTTTCATTCTTTTGGGTTTGGAGGCCATCAGTTCCAAAGTTTTTCCTTGGCTCTCCTTCTCTGCTTGTGGACCATCTACTCCCATTACCAGTGTGGGCCCCAGTCTTTCTTACCCAAGTAGAGGAGGATGTCCTGGCCTCCTAGGCTGCTATGTCTCACCTGGCAATATAGGCCAGATGTCTCCGTGGCTTCCACCTCCAGGAAAACCTGAAGGTACCATGTCCCGTCAGCACTGGGCAAGATATCACTTTGTTGAGTGCCCTGTTGTACCTGTTCACCTTGCATCCACTTTACCCAAATTGGCTTTGGATGGAAGCCAGAGACATGGCAAACCAGCATCTGACGGCCAGGACCAGGATTAGAGCCAGTGGACAGCCAGGCCTCTGGTTTTACTGCAGAGAACAGGAGAGATACTCAGATAAGGACTCTAACACAGACTTGGAGGTTCTTATCTTCACATCAGCTTAGACAGACACATCTATCACATGCTAGGAATTCATCACGCATGATCCTTCTCCCTCTTGACCCCTTATTCTCATTTTAAAGGGAAGGTGGGAAGGTGTAATTTTAGAAAATTCTTGGATGAAGGATATGGGACTGACCTTGTCTCTGGAGATCGGCCTTCCCTGCCTCAAGAATACTCGAGAGGAAACGTGGGCAGGTGTCACTGAGCATCCTCTGTACTATTCTGTTGATGACATGGTACTGATTGACTCGTCTACACATAAGCTGAGCTGTAATTTCATCCTGTACTGATGGCAGCCATGAATTGTTCTGGAAGTGCATGAGCTCTGATCCTTGATAAGCAACTTGCAAGAAGACTACCTTGCCTTCCCCAGGGTGCAGCTCACAGCCTCCTGTTATCTGAATCTCAAAGGGATCTAGGGAAGAAGGGTTGTAAATTAGAGGAAGAGGGGGTAAAGATGAAAGTAGAGGAAGCAAAAAAAGTAAATAAAAGCAGTTTGGGGGATTTGAGGTAATGGAACAAATTTTGGTTTGATCAGAAGTTCAGAAAAAGTGTAATTTGTGGTAGTTGAAGGTAGAGGAAAAAAATGAATGACTTCTTTTTTTTGGAAATAGAAGTGAGCAAGTTGAAAGAAGGAGACATAAATGGTGAGAGCAAGAGAATAAGGAAGCACGTAGTATGAGTTGTGATTATAATAACCCAGGCTGAATGATGCAATAGGATACAATAAATGTACAGACAGAGAATGCTGAAGAGATTGAATGTGGTTTGGAAAAATTGGAATAAGGAACTCATTGAGACACGCACACCCCTCACCCAGCACATTGCATTTCCCCATTTTGGGTATTGAACTTACATTTAAGCTGCCATTGACTGGCATGTCTGTGAAGTTGATGCGGCATTTCAAAGGAGAACAAACGGTGGAACTCTATCAGATCATTTATCTCTTTCTTGCTTAAGTTGCCCTTGGACCAAGGACGCAGGAAAATAAGACTGCCAGAGTTGGTGTCCCAGCCATGAGTCTGCAAGTCACCCAACCAAGCAGAGTGCCGAATTTTCACCCAGGAATGGTTGTAGAAGGATGAGCTGTAGATCATTTTGAAGATCTCCTCCTGGAAGGCTGTGGCAAAAGAACACATAGAATGAGGAGAAGAAAAGGCATCTGGAAGGAGAGAGAATGAAGAAAGGTGCCAGGAAGGAAACACTCAGAATCTGGAGATTAGGGAAGCCATGGCTACCTCAGCAGACATTCAGCTGCCCATGGCCCCAGGCTTTACAAACAACCTTCAGAAGGGCACAGGGTCCCAGAGTACGGGATACTGAGAACTACGCTGACATTCTCCTCTCCAGGTATGTTCTGGGGACACCACACCACACCACACAGAAACAAACAAACACACACACACACACACACACACACACACACACACACACACCCATCCATTTGCACCCAACAGGGCAGTGGCGAGAGTTCTTACCATCTTCATTGTTACCACCTCTAAGGAGAACCGCTAGCAATAGGATTTGCAGAAACAGCATTTCAATTACAGATGTTATTTCTTTCTCAGGAAAGTTTGGCTTCTGTTTTAAATAAAACTACTCCACACTACCTCTATTCTGACTTCCTTCATCTAACAACAGACACACAAAAAAACCAAACAAAAAAAAAACACAGCAAATAAACCAAAATAGTGCTCCTTCCCTAAACTCTAGACACTGATTCAGCCTCTCATTTCCCCTCCACTTCTGACTCTCTTATCTGGCTTTCAGCATCTTCCTTTTTCAACCTTCAATCTGTTCATCTTTCTCAAAATCAGCGTCTATGGAATAAGTGTTATGCGCCATTGAAAAGTCAGTTTATCTCTGGAGATATTTCCTTCTCATTCAGACAATGAAAGCATAAAACCAAATGGCTTTCCAATTCCTACCTAATGTTCTGTTGTCCCTGCTCTTTCCTGTCACTCTGTCCTTTTCTTGCCAAATTTAAATTTTCTTCAAATACTCTTCTTCTATCTAAGCCCCACCCCATTGTATCATATCTCTGACATCTCATTGGTGGCTTTAATTGATTTTCAGGATCTCCTGATTGCCCTGTGTAACAGTATAAACTACTACTCCATTATCTTTAGGGAAGAACCAGTAGCCATCACAGAGACCACAGGAACCTGGAAAAATAAAGAAAAATCTGTTTGACCTGCATTGACATATACTCATTTACCCAAGAGTTACTCAGCACCTGCCTGGATACAAGCATCTTGCAACACTTGTGAGTATCTAGTGGTCTACAAGGCAATCACTTTATTCAAGGAGCTTTTATTCTACTTAAGAAGGAAGCACATAAACTAAGGACTATAAACCTTGGTGTGCTGGGTTTCATTATAATGTATAGACTAGTCAAAAACAAGCCTCTTGAAACAAAGTCCCAAACCTTAACTGATGTTGCCCACGCAGAATCTTGGCTCCAGTGATTTTCTCAGGGTGTTAGGTCTGTATACCTCTGTTGTGCTTGGTCCCCAACTCTAGCAGAATGCCTCCTGGCAAGGTGCTCAGTGAATAAGTTTGAATGATTGAATAATTGGGTTCAGGCTTCCAATTATTTTTTTCATTAGACAGATTTTTAACATTATTGTTTAAGGCAGGGGTCCTCAAACTTTTTAAACAGGGGGCCAGTTCACTGTCCCTCAGACCGTTGGAGGGCCGGATTATAGTTTAAAAAAAAACTGAACAAATTCCTATGCACACTGCACATATCTTATTTTGAAGTAAAAAAAACAAAACGGGAACAAATACAATATTTGTATTTGCATGTGGCCCATGGGCCGTAGTTTGAGGACCCCTGATTTAAGGTATCAGAAATCTCTGCTTGTATTTCTACTTGGTGAAATGAGAATCTTACAGTTTTATTTACGATTAAAATATATGCTAATAAGCATGAAGTTTACATAGAGCTTTATGCTGTAAATCTATTAGTTATAATTTTTTAAAACAGTGATAATTAGTGGGAAATTAAATTAATAGAATATTCTGGAGTTCTTTATCCAAGATTTCCTTCTTACTGGCCATCTTAGGAGGGAGAGTCAAGATACATTCCTGGATGAGACACCTGCTGGATGCAGTGAATTGGAAAAAACACATCAGCATTCCGGCCTCAGTTTTCTTATCTGTAAAATAACTGGGTTGAAAGAAATAAATGTTTTCTAATCTTGTCACCTTTCCCTCTAGCATTCTGTGTGTCTTACTGGGCTCCTTTTCTCCCCATCCATGTGCTCTTTTTTCCCACTCTACTTTTCCCTCCATTTTTTAAACTTTATTTTTCAATTACAGCTTACATTCAGTATGATTTAGTATTAGTTTTAGGTGTATAACATAGTGGTAAGACAATTATATCCTTATAAGGCAGTGGTTCTCAACCTTGGCTGCACATTA